ATGTCACAGTAGTTTACTTCTAAAATGATCAAAAGAGACCAAATGTGACAAGAAATGATAAAAATAACTACAAATGACTAAATTAAAAAATGAGTACTTCCCATAAAAGCAAGATTAGCCAGTATTTCAGCTTTGCTAAACTTGGAAAATGGGTTACATTGATTTTTTTTCTTTTATAACTTGAAGAGAACTTGACAGTGTAAAATTTGAAATTAGCCGAGAATGCATTTTTTGTTTGGTGTAGATTTCTTCAGCAGCAAGAAACAAATTCTTCAGAAATTTTTCTGCTCCTCGAGACGAGACCTGAATCTGCTACCTCTTGAAATTGAAAACGTTATTCAAAGCAACACATTAAACTAAGTTGCCTTTTTTGCCTAATTTTAAATGTGTGATAATTTTAAGGTGTTTGGTGGCTTACTGCCTTATTTGGTGATATTTCTTGGTCTTTTGGCATTTTTTAATAATCTATTTTGACTTTATTTGGAGACTTTATCCCAATGTAAAAAAAAAAAAAAAAAAAAAAAAAAAATTCAATACTACTTTAAGGACATTAACTGAATTTTTTACAATAATAAGCAACTTATTTTCTGCCTGGAGTAAAAACAGCTGGGACTTCAGCAATTTGACAACAATATCCAAATGATAAAATGAATCATGATCATATTAAGTGCTGTCTAATACAAAATATTTTTGAATGAAGTTGAATTTTGTGAATTTTAAATGCACATAACATCTTATTTCTTTCATAGTTAACTGAAATAAATCTATATTAGTAATGAATATTAAAATACTTAAACATGCATCAAGGAGATACTTAATGGAAGTTTAAGGGCTTACTTGTTTAGACAAATCGTCATAGATAATAAGGCCATGCATTCCATTGTCTCTAAAGTATTCACCCATAGCACAACCAGAATATGGTGCCAAATACTGCAAGGGGGCGGCTTCAGATGCAGTTGCAGCAACAATGATGGTGTATTTAATAGCATCTATAAAAGATAATATTAAATGGAGCATTCATATTAAATACCAAAAATCCAAAGATTCTATCACAGGAAGTGTATTACTCACCAGAATCTGTCAAACGCTTCACAATTTGAGCAACAGTACTTCTTTTTTGACCTATAGCAACATAAATACAGAATAATTTCTTTTTTTCTTCTGATCCTTCGTTGAATCTTTTCTGGTTGATAATAGTGTCAATGGCAATGGCAGTTTTCCTGTAAAAATGAAATTTCAGTATCTAATTTTTTGAGGCATAAAAGTATTGGATTTTTATCAATACTTTTAATACTGCTAAAAAAACCCTTCTAAACAATTACATATAAACTCTTTAAAGAGGAAAAAAACCTCAAAACTGCTCCATAATCAATATTAGGTGCTTTGATCATATTCAACACTGCTATCAAGCAGTGCAATTTATTACCAATAACGAATAGGCATAATATCATAACACATTCATAGAAACTTGGTCTGGTTTTTTTTACAATTTCCTTACGGAGCCGCATTAGGCTTTGTAAGAAAACTATAAATTGCTATTTTTCTGCTCTTCTCTTGCATTATGGGAGGGGGAGTTAAAACCTCTATTTTCTACAGATTGCAAATAATAAAATATTTTGGTGTGTATGTATTGAGAATACGGCAAAGCACACTAGGGCTATCTGCCTAAGCGGAGGGATGCCTTTCGTGAGGCTTTCTAAGGAACTGCTGTATCCGTTACAAATGGGGAAAACCACGAACCGCCCCTCATCCAGCCCGTCGGGGATTCGAACCTCGGACCGAACTACCAGTGTTCAGCGATTTTACCGCTCGGCCGCTGGTGGGCATATATATAAAATATTTTGAAAGTTATGAAACTAGCTATACTGATGTGCCATATTAAAAGACTGGAATTCATTGAAATGTCATCTACCTCCCAAAAAAGGAAACAACAAAAGGCAAACTACTACGTGAATTTAAGTGTCACCAAGTTCATAAAGGTGACTTTTTTTATTAATATTTATTCCTATGGGGATTTTCAATTGCTGGAATGGTTGGCACTTGTTTTGAGGAATTTCTTTGCCTCATAATCTCAAAGCGTGAGCTCATAGTTATTTACGTTTTTATTTGTCACATTTTTAACTTGATTACCTAACTAAATAGACAGCAATCTGTTCCTTCAAACTTTCACTGGAATCTTTGGTGCAGTTTTGCTGGGATGTCTGTCAATTTTCTTAGATGATGGGAAGTACCAAATATTATTAATATATATGAATACAAATCTAATTATCTTTTATTTATTACAATGCAAAATGTTCATATTAGTCAAATAAAAAAATGTCAATACTCTTTTATCATCAAATCAAGAAAGATAAAGGAAGACAGACACAGCCTCGTGGAATTGGTGCTCAAGATCTAACACCACAAAAGCAGTAACACATTGCCAAACTAATGTCCGGTTATAGCTTTTTTAAATCCTTAATTTTAAATATAAACATGTTATAAATTACAGCTGCTAATATGTATGGAGATAAAACAAGATTTTAAACTATTAAATCTATATCCTCTGTACAATGCAAGTGCAACGATTAACAGACAATTCATTATTTGATGTAGTATACTCTTCTTTTTTTAATATACCATAATTTCACCAAACTGGCGATTTCTTTATGAAAAAGTTTTGTGAATATTCTTCAAAAGAATTAAATAGTAAATAAAAATGTTCAAAATGTTTATTAAAGATTTTATATGATATTTTAATGCATATATTTTTTAATATCACCTATGACCTACAGATGCTAATTCGCATGTTTTGGAAATGTTTATCCAGATTGAAGTCTGGCTCAATACAGAAAAGTTAATCATAAACCTGCTGCAATAATGTTTAAATGCATTCTTTTGTATTTGCTCATCACCAAACAGAAACAAATTCTATTTAAAATGAGAGAAATGATAAAAAAGCTTTCAAAGCTTCTGAAAGAAACATTTCTTCTTAAACTTCTTTAACATTTTAGACAAATGAAGAACTTTTCGCTTTTAATTGATAAATTATACTCGAAGAAAGAATGAAAATGTGATGGCTGATGCTTTGTTCACAAGCAATTTGGATGATGAAAGAATAGAAATAGCATGTGCTATATTAACTTTGAAAATTTTTAGTTTCACAAGAGATAATCACGGAGTTGAAGGCTGATTCCTAGTTTAAAAATATTTATACTCACTTAAAGGGTCCTGATAATTTTGAACATACTGATGTTATAGGGATAAGAAACAGCAAATAACTTCTAAATTAGTGTTACAATTGTATTTAAAAACTAATATAGTTCATTATAAATTAATGGTTTTATTTCTCGCGCAGTGCAGCGCGTGAGAATATAAAAAAAGCTAGCCGGAAAAATTAAAAATACAAGCCGTGCGTTAAATAATAAATATCTTTTTTGAGTCGAGAAATACTGGAAATTCTAGGCGTGATTGATTTAAAATCTTATAAAGAGGAAACACTCAGTTTTAGTAGTTGCTTGTTTGTGTGTGTAGAAAACGTCTTGTTGATGTAGCGAATTCGGGATTGCGTCTTTAGCTGTTTTGAATTACGTTCTATTGGATATTGATGTTAAAAGAAACTACTGTGAATAGTGTATACGGCATGATATTTGAGAATTCAAGGTTTTTGTTGTGATAATAATAATCTTGTTCATTTTTCATCGGCTTTGCATTCATTTCGAACGAACCGACGCCACAACATTTTTGGTGTCAGAAGTGGGATTTGATGCCAATAACAAGACGATGAAGAACAATTCAGGCAAATGAGACTGTATTTGCTGCTTTCAAGAAAAGAGGAAGGGGCCGTCAATCCGTTAAGGAAGAAATGAAATTGGGCAGATCCTTAAGGACAAATGAAAGCCGTTCAAGCTGGTCAAGAAAAATTGAAGATGTCAAGAAAGAATGAAAAGAGAATTACCGCTAATAGAAAATAATTGAAGCTATGGAATCAGAATTACACAGTTGAAAATAAAGTTGGACAATTGAAGAAAATTATTCGTAAAAGATCAAATTGAAGAAAGAGTTTCTTGGTGAAGAAAAGAAAAAAAAGTCTCTGTAAAAGAAATATAGAAGGGAGAGTTTCGGCTGTGGAGGAACGAATTGAGAAGTTTGGCGTCCAACCAGTCGAACAACAATTGATGAGAGAGTTTCTCAGTTGCAAAGAATGGAAACATTAAGAATCGTACGACGGCAGGGGCAAGATGATGATTTTAAATTCTACCGATGCCGCTCGTCCATTTCTGATCATCCACATATGATGGGAAACATCCTGGCAAGTGCAACCCAGTTTCTATCGTTGCGGATGCTAATGGGGGGATCCAGCTAAGCCTGTCATCTCGCCGCTTCTGAGAGCAGACGCAGCGATATCCTTCAGACGCTTCCCGAAAATCAAGGCGAGATTTCAAGCTCTATCCGGCGCTTTGGAGCTGCGCTTCGCGAGAAATGTTTAAAGACTACAGCAGCTCCAATTAAAATCTCGTCAACAGAAGCCTACCGAAACACTTCAGAGCTCGCGCGGATGTTGAAAGGCTGTCCCACTGCCTTTCGGCTGCCGAAAGAACAAGGAATCCTGTCCTTACAAGCTTTATCGACGGCATCCGAGAACTGAAATACAGAAAGCTCTCGAATGGCAGAGTAAAGGACATAAAAAGCGCTATGTTTACGCCATGAATTCGAGGCAGCACAAGCACTATAGAGATCGCTACCCAGTTAAAGCTGTGCGAGTCATGAGCCAGGGATCAATGATGGCTCGTTAGATTTTAGCCAACAGTCGAAGATTTGATACGAGTAGGAGCGAGAAAAAGGCTCTAAGGTGGAGATGTGGTGTGAAGGTCAACTAAGACGAATGCAGAACACCCCAGGTACGAATAAAGCGATGATTTGCCAGACAATCAGTGGCTTGAGACGACATAATGAAAAGAAACTAATTCGAAAGTGCTGGAACTGCGGAGTTAGGCCACATACGAAGAAACTGCAGAACCCCGAAGTACGGAATAGCCATTTCCCACAACACGAGTAAACAATAGTGAACATTCGAGGAACGAGGTGCAGATAGTGAAAAACTGTTTAAAGCTCTTAAATTCTACAGTGGTGGCAACAATAACGGACTTCCTCAATGGAATTCGTGGAGTTCCTGCCGTATGATCATGACACAGGAGCTAATGTACACATTAGAAAGATTTAGCTGAACAGTTTAACGATAAAACTTATGTTATGATGTTATAGGGATAAGAAACAGCAAATAACTTCTCAATTAGTTTGTTACGAATTGCGTATTTCACAAGCTTAATATTAGGTCAATTATAAATTAATTGGTTTATTTCTCGCGCAGTGCAGCGCGTGACGAATATTAAAAAGAAAGAAAAAAAAAAAATTAAAAATACAAGAGCGCGTGCGCATTTAAATAAATAAATATCTCTTTTTGATTTCGAGAAAAATACTGAAAATCTAGCGCATTAAAAATCTTATAAAAGGAGAAAACATCTAGTTTGTTTTGTTGTTTTTAGAAAACTGCTCTGTTGATTGTAGCGAATTCGTGTTAGCTTTTTTAGTGTTTTGAATTACGTTCTATTGGATATTTGAGTAGTTAAAAGATAACTACTGTGAGATTGTAATACTGCATGATAATTTGAGAAAATTTGTTGTGATAATAATAAATCTTTGTTCATTTTTCATCGGACTTGGGCATTCATTTCGTAACGAACCCGTACGCACGCAACATTATTGATGGTCCTTTGTTTTATACGAGAGTCACACAGAATTCAGACCAGTAATCCCAACATTTCTAAGATTAAGCATTTTAAGTGAATAATGCAATACACTATTATCAGACTTATTTAGGCATCAAGCAGACAGCAGTGAGGGTGAAAGAAATCAATTTATTTATGTCTCCTACAAAAGTTATCACAGAATTTATCAAGTTTTGTGGCACATGCCAATAAATAAATGATGTTGGTTAAAACCCAACTGGTACATAAACAGCATAAAAATAAGGTTTCCCTATCATCAGTATGTTCAAAATTATCAGGACCCTTTAAGTGAGTATAAATATTTTTAAACTAGGAATCAGCCTTCAACTCCATGATTATCTCTTGTGAAACTAAAAATTTCAAAGTAATTAGCACATGCTATTTCTTTCTTTCATCATCCAAATGCTTGTGAACAAGCATCAGCCATCACATTTTCATTTCTTTCTTCGAGTATAATTTATCAATTAAAGCGAAAAGTTCTTCATTTGTCTAAATGTTAAAGAAGTTTAAGAGAAATGTTTCTTTCAAGCTTTGAAGCTTTTTTATCATTTCTCTCTTTAAAATAGAATTTGTTTCTGTTTGGTGATGAGCAAATACAAAAGAATGCATTTAAACATTATTGCAGCAGGTTTATGATTAATTTTTCCGTATTGAGCCAGACTTCAGTCTGGATAAACATTTCCAAAACATGCGAATTAGCATCTATAGGTCATAGGTGATTATAAAATGCTAGAAATGACTTACGGACAAATATACAATGAATACAGACAAAGTTTTAGAAATACCACAAAAAGAAATTTTTATAGTAATAGAACAGAGGGATCACTCTTACAAGAGCCTTGGCAAAAGCTGTTGCAGGCTCATTTCTAAGTACATTTATTTTAAAATATGGAGCCGAGCTAAAAGTAATTTCCAATCCATGAATTAAATTTTGGAGAATAGGTCTTAACTCTTTCAGATCGAAGTCGCCCAAAATGACCTACCATTCAGACATCAGCAGGTTGCCTGAATTGTTTTCTACCTAGTGCTTTCCCCCCATTACATTAGTGCATAGCTCACTGCTTTTGGGTGTTGTTAAATGACATGTCGCTCATTCTTTTGAAGCGACTAAAAGTAGTTGTTATTTGAATGTGCTTTCCTTTTCCTTTGTTTAGCTATTAATGCCCAAAGTTGCAATCCTGTCCTAAGGGAAAACGGCACACAGTGGTAAAAGTGCATGAAGATTCCAAGACAGAAGTTTTCACTTTACTTAAGTAGGTTATTGTTAGCACTGTAGCATTCTACCTGGCATGGAAGGGGAGAAAGGATATTAATTCCAACAAAAATACATGTACAGTGGCTCCCAAAAGTGTTCGTACACTTATGATTTTCATTGAAATAGGGTGGGCTATCCATTAATCAAAAGTAAACTTTCCGAATGAGATTTTAATAATAAGATCTATAATCTATTCATAACAAAATTACATGAAATATTTAAAAAATACAGCGAAACTTTATATTAAACAAATTAATAATCAAAAAATGATAAACATTTTATCTCACAATTTCTTAACATGAAATATTTTTGGATAAAATCAAAATTAGAATTATTGTTTGCTGCTTTTTAATTTTTTGCATAAACAACATTTAAAAAAATCTTTTGCTTTACTTTTTTATTGTTTACTCATAATATTCTTTTTACTGAAAAATGGTCACATTGTAGAGATTACAAACATTCGAAAAGATAATTTTTACACAGTAGTGGTAAATCATCGAAAATCCTACTTAGTTAATTTATCCCATTCAACAGTGCAGTATGTGATAAAACGCTTAAAAGAAGAAAATCGGGTTGAAAACAAGGTAAGAAAAGGTCAACCGTGAAAGTTAACTAAACGTGATGAGAGGTCTATAATTAGAAAATTTGTGCAAAACCCACATTTGAGTGCTGTAAAAAGTTTCTGCAGGATTTAATGCAAAGTTCTCTACTTCAATTTCACCTGAAACTGTTCGACAACTTCTCAGAGAAACTGGATTACATGGGCGTTCTGCCCTAAAAACGTTAGTGAGAAAAACAGAAAGCTTAGGCTTTCATTCGCAAAATCAATGATAAATACACCCGAAACGTACTGGAATAATGTCTTATTGCTGACGAAAGCAAATTTAACATTTTTGGTTTCGATGGTTGAAAACCTGCATGGAGAAGAAAAAATGAGGAACTTCATTCTAAAAACTTAGTTGGTACAGTTAAACATGGCGGTGGAGGTGTCCTTTCTTGTGTAGGGGTACATGGCAGCATCAGGACTAGGTAATTTTGTATTTAATGATGGCATAATGAATCATTCCCTTTATTTAAGTATTTTAAGAGACAATTTAAAATTATCAGTCCAAAATTTAGGTATTGGAAACAACTTTATTTTTAATCATGATAACGATCCTAAGCATACGGGCTCTCAACGTCCACCTGTGGTGTCTCTATAATGTCCACAGGTTTTTAAAACACCAGCTCAGTTGCTAGATTTAAAACCCATAGAACACATTTGGAAAGAACTAGAGGTTAGAGTACAAAAACACGACATCAAAACGAAAAGCGAACTCAAAACAGTCAGGATGGAAGAATGGATGAACATTGATACAGAAATTACAAAGAACTAGTAAAATCTATTCCCAGATGCTTAAAAGCTGTTGTGGATGCTAAAGGATATCCTACTAAATATTAATTTCACAAAAAATGAAAATATTTACTAATATGTCAAGATTTTTTTTTAACTGTACGAAGACTTGCGAGATAAAATGTCTGTCTTTTTTATATTAATTTCTTTAAAATAAAATTTCGTTACTTTTAAAAAAAATATTTCATGTAATTTTGTTACAAATAGATTATAGATCTTATTATTAAAATCTCATTCAGAAAGTTTACTTTTAATTCACGGATAGAGCTTTATTTCAATGAAAATCATAAGTTTACGAACACTTTTGGGAGCCACTGTATTGGCCCTTTTAGATGTTGGAGTAAAACAAATTTTGGCCTCTATTTATGCGAAAGAGTTAAGCATTTTAAAATGACCCTTGTGGCAACCACAATATAATGCTGTAGAGCGGGTAAACAGAAATAAAATTACCTGAAGTTACATAAAAAACATACAATACACACTGTGACTACTGCATAACGAGCTCCTCTAACTTTGGACTGACAAAATAATAATAATAATAAAGTCTGCAGAATTATTTTGGGGAAGAAGTTGATAAATATAGTTTTATAAACTGACTTTTGCAGTGAAAAGTAGTTAGAGCATTCCCTCCTGTTTGAAAACATCTATTATAAGAAATGACACGAGGACAAGAAAAGAATTTTAAGGTCATGGATAAAAGCATTCTTCATCTTCTGCACACCAGAGGTTGAGACTGAAAAGTCCTATCCAAATTTGATTAACCATCTGTAACTGAGTCTGAAAGAGTTAAGCAGTTTACCCGAAAGAAATATTGCTCCATGGTTACAACAATTATGAGTTATATCAAATTGTTTTATAAGCAAGTAAATCATCAGCCAGGTTCATTTGAAAGTAGTCTTGTGTGTCAAGTAACTAATTTTTTTGTCTGCTTGGTTCTAGGAATTGGTATCAGAGTAGTTTGTTCAGTTGTTACAAGTGCATTAGCCACTTTCACAAGGAAATACATTTGATACTTACCCTGTCTGCCTATCACCAATAATCAATTCTCGCTGTCCTCTGCCGATGGGAACTAAACTGTCTACAGCTTTTATTCCAGTCAACATAGGCTCTCGCACAGATATACGAGGGATGATACCTGGTGCTTTTACCCCAACTCGAGCTCGTCGGGTGCAATTAATAGGTCCCTTTAAAATTTAAAGAACAGAAAAAATATATACATAAACATTTAATTTTAAAGAGAAGCACATATACTTATAACACGGCAGTACAAATAAAAACATTCCTGCAATAAATATATATTAAAAAAAACTACCATAATTACTTTAGACAAATGGCAGTAGTATGTTTTACTACAATTAATCCCCAGATCTAATAATTAGTTTTTATTTGCAAATATCTTTATGGATAGCAAATCTAAATATTGTATTGCAGCTACTAAATTCTGCAACTTAATGATTAAAAAAGTTGTATCTTTTCAGTTATAGGACAATACGTACTGAATAATTTTCGACCAAAAAAAAAAAAAAAAAAAAAAAAAAAGAGGTGCATACATCGTTTATAGGCTACCATTAAATTAAATTTTTTATAGGCTACAATTAAATTAAATTTATCTTCTTATCTATTACAACAGTTTTCAAAGTAAGAATTTTCAATGAAAAAATTTTAAAGCTTGTCATTCCATTTCATGCCTTGTTTACTGAAATAACTAGCCTCCAAATTAATTTACGGTTAGAAATGTTTTAACAAAATCAAACTGAACTAATGACAATGATGTTTATCACTATATGTATCAATTTGGTCAACATCTCTTTTTAAAGAAAATTACTTGGGACTTGCTACCTTACAATGAAAGAAATTAAAAAAAAAAAAAAATTAACTTGGCAATAACTCAAGTTTGAAATTCTTTATATATATGGAAGTATATATGTAAAATATTTGTATCCTTTATTCCACATAAATGTTCCTAAGTACACCACTACTATTTTATTGCATGTGCTATGCAATGTGTTACACTAAGTCTTAACAGAACATACACTTTGGGACACAAAAGTAAAATAGTTATACGACTACTCTGCCATTCATCCATGTCTGCAAGAATATTCAGAGGACAGAATCATGAACTGGCACCATTATTCACCATGTCTGAAGTGAATGAAATTGGAATATAAATAAACATCTTCCACTGATGCACCATTATTATTACTATTATTTATTCAAATTTCTAGAAGAATGGTTCAAGATGAATCACTCATTAACAAACAATTCTAATGCAGAATCAAGAAAATACTTTGTACATAAGCCTAAATAAATAACTACGATAGACATTTGGCACAGTCACAAAATTTACAATTGGAGGAAAAAAAACCAAGTTTATGTGCTACGATTAACTGTCTAGTTTACAAATAAAGTATTTTAAAATCTATGTTAGGCATGAATATTGATTTAAATGAAAAGTATTTATATAGCCCACGCATTCATTTGCTGACACAATGCAATTTGGTTATAAGAGTATATTTTATATTCATTTATTTATTCATAATACTTCAAAAATATTACAATATAAACAGTTTATATATATATATACAGGGCTTGGACAAAAATATGGAAACACCTTTAAAAAAACATGTTTCTTTGCTTAATATGGTGTAGGAAACCCGTTGGCATCCAAAACAGCTTGCAGTCTTCTCGGAATGGATAAATACAGTTATTGTATGTTTCCCAAGGAAATATTATACCATTCTTCCTGCAAAACGGTGGCAAGTTCAGATAACGATGTTGGCGGTGGATAACAAGAACGCACTTTCCGTTCCAATGTATACCACAAAGGTTCGATAATATTCAGGTCTGGTGACTGTGGTGGCCAGGGCAGATAGGACAACTCATCCACGTGCTCAGAAAACCAGTCCTGGACAATGTGAGCTGTGTGAACAGGGGCTTTGTCGTCTTGGAAGACACCATCACCATCGGAGAACAAAGTTTGTACCATGGGATGAACTTGATCGGCCAAAAATGTCACATAAGTCTTGGCAGTTATGTACCCTGACACAGTTTATCATGGGGCTAGCAGAGAACCACGATATGGCTGCCCAAACCATAACAGAACCCCCGCCATGTTTCACTCTTGGCAACAAGCAGTCTGTATTATAGGCTTGAGATGGCGTTCTCCAGACGTAAATCGGCCAGAAGTGGGAAACAATGTGAAAGAAGACTCGTCAGACCATATTACTCGCTTCCACTGCTCTATAGTCCAGGCTTATGACTTGAACACCACCTTTTCCTGTTACGGGCATTAGCATCACTGATGAGTGGCTTCTCAATTGCAGCACGGCCAGCAATTCCCTGTTTATGAAGCTCCCTTCTAATTGTTTTGGTATTCACAGGGTCCTGAAAACAAACATTCATTTCAGCAGTAACTTTTGAAGGCTGTGGTCTTCTATTTTTCGTCACAATTGCCCTTAATATCGTCTGTCACGATCACTCAGGACACACTTTCGTCCGCGCTGTGATTTAGCAGATGATGTTTTTCCGCTTTTCAAACATGCGGAATAAATCTTCAATACAGTACCTCTTGAAACACTAAACACCTCGGCTACCTTGCTTACGGAAGCACCTACCATACGTGCTCCAACAATTTGCCCACGTTCGAAGTCTGTTAACTCTGACATAATGCAGTGACAACCTCACATAACAGTACTCCGACAACAACTGAACTGTTTAGCACATTTACGAAGTTGTATAGGTGGCGTCAGTAGTCAAAAACGCCAGCGCCACCTACATATTTCATTAAAATCAATCTTTCTTTTCAAACATGCATTTCACAAGGTGTTTCCATATTTTTGTCCATCCACTGTATATATACACTAGTATGTATTAAACTTACTTTTCCATCAATAGGGTTTCCTAGAGCATCAACAACTCTACCTAGAATTTCTGGTCCCACTGGTACATCTACAATGGCTCCAGTTCGTTTTACAATATCGCCTTCTTTAATCAGCCTGTCGTTACCAAATACTACAATACCAACATTATCTGGTTCTAAATTTAAAGCCATACCCTAAGAGATAAGAAAAACAAAAAAGTTCAAGATTTTTCTTTAGACAAGTAAGCTCTTATTTACAAAAATGATTATTTGGACATGGGCCCAAATATTACACAGTAAAACATATGCAAGTAAAATATCCTTTTTATTTATGTTTTTAAGATTTAGAGAGAACATTTATTAACAAAAATCTATTACTATACATCATAATTTAAAAAAAAAAAAAAAAAACTTTAGCAGAATTGTTAAGTTGACCACTTTTACCATTCAACTACAATACTTAGTTATTTCAACACATGCTAATTTATTTTACAGCCTCTCAACAGAAATCTTGAGCACAACTAAAAAAAAAAAAAAAAAAAAAAAGAAAAGCCTGTTTTAAATGATTAAGATAAAATTCTCAATTACAAACTCATTACAATAATGTTCAAAATCTTTAAGTGAAGTTCGTTAATAAGAAACAGAAAACACACCTTATGAAATAAATAAACCTACAAAATATAAAGCAAAATCTTTAAAATACTAAGAAAAATTATTAGGTAATAATATAGCAATTACATATTATCTTGCCCCTGGAAATAAAACTACTATTGTCTGCTTGTCAAACTTTGACACTGCCAAGAATTTTTGGTACTTCCTGATTATCTGCACCCCTGCAAGTCGTGAACTTACAGCTGACTAAAATTTCCCCAAGATAATACACTAAAGGGAACAGCCATTTTCAAAATAACAGTGCTCCAAGAATTCCATACAAAAGCAATTAATCTGTAAAATCTAAAAAAGAAAAACACACATAGATAATAAAACACTTATCATTTGAGAAATCCTTCCTTTCTGTGTTGTTGTTCTCCCCATGTACACAGCAATTTGTTTTCAATTAAAAGAAATCAAAGAATTGTCATCTGTACAATTACATTGTAAGACATTAGGATTTTTTGGAAGAAGCAGGCAACACCTTCGCCGGGAATCGAACCACGGACCTCTGGAATACCAGTCCAGAGTGCAGAATAATGAAAGCACTCTAGGAAAGTGGGAGAAATACCTTACATACTCTCATTTTTAAAGGGCGACTGGGATTTTTAGGGGACCCAATCGCCAAATCCTGGGTGTGGAGAATCCTCATCTAACACCCTTTTAGTTCAGGCGCCACTGTAGAGACATTAGGTTAATCGGAAAAGCCAGAGAGATGAAAAAATAGCAAGCCCTTGCCAGGAATCAAACCACGGACCTTTGAAGTACCAGCTCAGTGTGCTGACCACTATGCCACGAAGGCACGCTAGGAAAGTGGGAGAAATACCTTATAACATCATTGAGCACCTCCCAAACGCATAGCTGGGCTGCTACATAAATATTTTGCTGACATACTACTTTGTCTCATGAATACTTCTTTTGCATGATTAGTTTTTCGGAAAGTGTAAATGTAATTTCGGCAAGTGTAAAACATTGAATTTTTTATAGTACCTAGGCCAGTAACTATTCTTAATTTTTAATATCAAAGGAACTATTTTTTAAAATATGGATAGGAAAAATTTATTTAAATAAATTTATGTGGAAAAATAAATTTAAGGTTGGTACATGAGTCTTCACTTTAGACAGCAGTTGCGTGTGGTGAATATGAATTATATCACCAATGCCAAGTTGACTGATATGGCATGGCTAATGGAAATTGATGCACTGCTGCACGATTCTATTGAGATATATATTCTACGTGGCACCAGCCCAATCATTAAATGTTCGTCCCAGTACATAAGAACTTTGCAAAATGTGGATCTCTTATAAGAAGGAAGCAAGATACCAGGGACCCGGGAGCAATGTGGAAATCCGGTTTGGAAGAGGAGCTGCGGCATGGTGTGGAAGGAAATCCCGGAATCGGCATATGGATGCTTGCCGTTGCAATTGAATAATCTCAGCCAATTGTCTGCTCTATTCGGTACAGAAAGGATTTATATCCCTATCATCTTCAAAGAATTCAATTAGTGCAGCTACCAATCACCTATAATGTGTATTCTTTGCATAATGGTTTCTTCACCAAAATACAGATTGCCAACAGTTTCATACTTTTTTTTTTTTTTTTTTTGCAATGAAGCTACTTTTTCACATGAAGAGTTTTTCAAAACACACAGTGCACATAAGTGGGCCATGGACAACCCTATGGAACCCTGTGCCAAGCAACTTAACCGCTTGGTTGCTGGTAGGATTAAACAAGAAATTTAACAACTTTTTCCAAAATCCATCTGTAAATTTATATCATGAATATTAAAAGCATGAATGCTTAGACAATGGAATCTTATTTAATCCCTTGTTCCCATTAAACCACATAAATTATTTTTTTTCCTTTTAATTCATTTATTATTTTATAAAAATGCATTTTAATTTTTAAAATTTTTAGTGTCAATGACACATTAACAATAAAGAAGCATCTAATGATCTGTTTTCTTCATAACTGAGTCAAATATAGTGGTTTTTCATTGTAAATACTTATTATGCTTGCCATTTTTAATATTCTATCAGCTATAGTTGATGTATAAGGCATTAACACAAGCAACTGCTGAACTGTGACATGCAGAATGAACCTGTAAAAAATGAACTTTTTTTTTTTTGGTTATCACAGTAGACCAAAAAAAATTTCCCCAAAAGTTGTGCTGGCATAAGCTTATCTGGCATGCACTAATAAATTTTAATATCCTGAAATCAATGTTACAAACCTATATTTATCATTTTAGTTTCTGATTAAGTTCAAGACCTCACTGTTCGGTACAATGACAAGCATATTTCAGCATTCATTTTTAGTCTGAATATTTAATGAAGAATTTATTTCATATCTTCACATAATAATTAAAATACAGTTCCTTACACAATCGTATATTTAATGATTTAAATCCTCAAATATTTGAACTTACTTTTAAACCACTGGAAAATTCTACCATCTCTTCAGCCTGGATATTTTTTAAACCATAAACACGAGCAATACCATCACCAATACTTAACACTCGTCCAGTTTCTTCTAACTCAGCAGTAGGAGTGTGTCCTAAAATGCGCTCTTCTAAGATGCTTGAAACTTCGGCAGCTCCTAGTATTTATAAAAATTTTATCTGCATTAATTTTATGGATTATCTATGCAGATTGGACATCAAATTTTTCTTGCTACTACAACTGTTTAAAATTACATTGTACAATGATAAGAATTTCACAACATCACTTATAACTACTATGAATTCAGATATAAAAAAACATGGCATTAAAATAGATATATTGGTTTAGCTTAAATAGCTTAACCATTTAGCTGATTTACCAGCATGCTAGCATCACAGAACAATTTGCCCACACAGCATATGAGCTAGAAAAGCTTATGTGCTCCACCAATGTTTTGCTCATATTTTTATTTCTTATTAGAACACATTTTTATCAACAGATGACAAAAGCAGATCACTGAAGTATGATAACTATTTAGGAACAATATATGTGCAGAATATATACGGAATGTTTTTCCGAAACAAAGCACAGGGAAAGTTTTGGGGATGAAATTTCCTCCAACATTAACATTAATAAATAACAATGAAATTAAAATGTTATATGTATTGAAATTTATTGCTTATAAATTTCAATTTTTGGTGTTTGTGAAAAATTAGTTCTAAATTTCTTTCTTTAAGTATACATAGGTAATAATAGCACAAAGTATAACAGCTCCTGGTAACTTTTAGGCGAGCTTACTACAATTTCTAATTTCCTTATTTTGCAGCATATTGCGCAAAATGTTTAGACAAAATTGGTCATTCAGTATTGTAATAACTACCTTGCTTGATATATTATACATATGCATATATATGTTATTATATTGTGCATAATACATGAGTAATATATACAGTCAAAAGTCGTTAATCCGGACTCGTCGGGACTTCGGCGATTCCGGATTATAGATCATCAGTTTAAATCTGGTAAAATGGCATGCAGAAATTATAAAATTAAAAATATGAAACCGTAATTTACGAAATAAAGAACAATTATGATCTAAAGGGTATCAAAATTTACAAAAAAAAAAAAGCTTAATATTTATTTGTTTACTTTATTAAACATTTCTTTCAATGTAAGTTGTTTAAGCTGCTTCGTTTTTTATGTGATAATACATTCACTTTAATTCTATAAACAGACATAATTTCTTGTTCAGTTACAAAGTTCAAGTCCTATAATTGCTGTGTCGAGTATACCGACTAATTTGTCAATCGAAATTTTTTCGTTTTCAATAACCTCTGTCACTTTCTTCGCTATCGGAAGCGAATTATAATGACGAGGCGTTTGATTTAAATCATATCAAAGACGGAGTACATCGAGATGAAATACTACATTGAGTAAGCAATTATAAGCCAAATAAAATAAAAACATCTGCCCTTAAGATAAGGATAGTGCTGACAAATCAACTTCCAATTCATTGCACGCCGCCGCGTTAAAGATAAACAAAGTTTAGATAAACAAAGGATATGGCCTTTATCGATTTTTTGCAGCAATTCCACTTTTTGTTTAATGGACTCCGAAAGATACTTTCGCTTTGTATATCCTTTACATATTAGTAAATATATATCGGAAATTCTGTTTGACATAATCGAAAGTTCAAGCTTACTTTTATAAAATTGCTCTAACAGTCTGCAAAAAATAATAATCCGGATCCAATTCGAAGATTAAGGAACAACGCAATCTGCAACATTAACTGAAATAGATAATTAGATAATTTTAGCTTAGCTTATCCCGTCCGTTATACATTAAACGCGCATTCGTAAACGTATTTTGCGCACGCGCACACGCGAATGCGCAGCGGTAAAGGTCTTACGCGCATGCGTCAAAGCGACGCATGCGCAGAAAGTTTGTAGCTTTGAGGTCCGAATTATAGATCATTCCGGATTATGGGTGTCCGAATTAACGACTTTTGACTGTATAATAATAATTTATTTACTAAATAATATTGATTATATTATCTCCTAAGATTAATTACTTATAGTAGAATTATTTGAAAAGAGCGAATCCATACTTAGTAAGTTCTTTTTCGAAAGATCCTTTGAAGTAACTTGTATGTAAATTGTTAATAATGTTTAACGGGGACTTGAATTAAATCATGAATAACAAAATTTCAATTGCAAAAGGAACAAATTAAAAGCAAGTAATTAAATTAAATGCAAGTAATCATTGCCATTGATCGGAAATTAGTTGACTTTTCAAGAGGATCAAACTAACTCCCGTTCAATGAACAAAAATTAAGAAATAAATACAAAGGTGTTTCCTCCTTTACTCGAGCAATAAGGCGATGCCAAACTGGCAATTCAAGCCAGGCCAAACATTTCCGTGAATAGAAGGGATTAAGAACCAATGCATATATATTAATTACTGCTTATTATTTATGAACAACATGCTAATTTTAAGTAATGAATTTTTTAGAAATTTCCCCAATAAAGTTGCTTTAAATGTATAAATTCAATAGTTGAGGGCATTTAAACTGAAATTAACCTCTGCTGAAGCCAAGCTTAAAGTAAAACTTTAATTTTAAATAAAGTTATATTTTTTGGAACACATTGGTTACAAAAAAGAAACAATTAAACAGTTAATGTAACATACAGTTCATTTTCTTTTACTCAATATATATATATATATTTGATGTATTTTCAGTATATATATCGGGTGGAAATAATTAAACTGACAGTGCTCACAGTGTTCTGTAGCGCGATCTATTTGCGAGAATAATGCCACATTTGTAGGAAGATTAAACAAGACGGGGGACAAAGGATTCCGCAAAACTTATTTAATTATGGCCACTCGGTATATACTGCAAATACATCAAAGAAAATAATGCATTTCTGGGCAATGATTATGCAAACTTACTAAATTATATAAGTTATTTCAAAATATATGCAATATTACCTGGTCCTGATGCAGCTAAGGGTTTCCCAGTGCTGAGATACCTTGAAAGGCATGATGAAATTTTGGGAGAGATCTGTGAAATTAAATACTTATTAGAATTAAATATTTAATTAAATTCCCAATACTTAACATAAATTAATATATATCCCATCAAACCAGACAAAAAGTTTTTTTTTTTTTTTTATGTAAAGGTTTATTAACTTATTTAAATTACAACCTAGAGCAAAACTAGTCAGTAATCAATGCACAAACATTTCTAGAACTTTGAAAATATGTATGCAAGACATATTTTTTAATCAACATTTTGTTTCTGTTTAAATTGTTAAATATAATTAAATTAATTACATCAAAATATCTAACACAAACTTTTTGAAAATTATAAGTATATTAGAAACTCCAATTTTATTACTCAAGCACAAATATTATTAAATCTAATATTATTGAAGCAAAATATTTTATATCAGAAATAATCAAACAGAAAATTACAGAGGCTGTTCACACATTTTTTAGACAATTTTGCTTTACTATGTATATATTTAATTTAATTTTAATTTAATAAATTAGTACATTTATTTTCATGGATTGATTTTGCACTTGATTTGCTTATGCTTCTGAATTTAAATGATATTGTAGATTAGTTTGAGTATTAAATCTTTTATATGTTTGCACATTTTTTTTAAAATTATTTTGGCTTTTTTCCTTTTTTTAGGATTTAAATTTGCTTTTTTTACTTTTATACGTATTTGTTAAAAATTAATAGTGCAAAGAATATTTAATTAAATTTGTATTTAAATTTAATTTTTTTAATTAATTCAATTTATTCTTATGAAACTATATATAATATTAATTTTTAAAAAAAAAGTTGAAAAATATTTTTTTTTAACTGCAACCATATTTTTCAAATTATACATTATTGCTTGCTACTTGATAGTTTTGTTTTCATGCAAAACAGTGCTTTTAAAGAAGCAATAGATGGAAGGCTATGTTTGTGCTCTTTCCAAAGAAAATTATTTGTATCTAATTAAAAAATGCAGTGAAAGCCATGGTTTTTTTTATATCTAAAGCTATGCTAAGTAATACTGTCAACAAGAAAGGTGAAAAAACATAATGTGCACTGTCATTGAATGCAGAATTCTTTACGACAAACGTTTATCTGGATAAAAACGGAAAAATGCTGTCTTAACAGATGAATCTTGGATATATTTAAATGACTAAATAAAAAGAGATACGGTAAAAGTATATTTATGGGTACCCATTGGCAATTTTCGGCAGTACATGGATACAGAGTTTGTGCAATTCTTTGACTTTAACCATGTACACATCGACCCTATTTTCACTTAACCCTTTGAAGGGCATGGGTATATAATATATACAGGTTGTTTATCAATTTTTTAACCTCGGGAAAAAAAAAAGCTAATTTCTCTACACCAAAAGCTATAATCTTAAGTTTTTAGTGTTTCCTTTTGATTCTATATGGCAGCCCCACCCTATGAATGCTGAATATTTTGCAGTTATGAAATTAATATACCTCATTCCAAGGCATCATGTTTGAAGATTGATAAATTCTATTGGAGAGAAAGAAAAAATTTAAAATCTCTAAATATGACATACACATGCTGAACCTTCTATATTTACTGCATTTCAATCAAAACTGATAATTAAAAGAAGTTTATGTATAGATTTTTAATACCGGTATCCTATTGAAAGTACCTTGCCAACAGATGGCAGCACCAGGCTTCTCCTTCTCTACTGTGCGAGATGATAGCATTTCTTTACATTATAATAGTTTATGATGTAATAATTTGTTCACGATTACCTTACAAGCTGTTTAGGATTCAGTATTATGTTCATGAAGAGATGGGAAGTTAACTGACCCTGCACTAAAACTGAAAACAAGTATAATTGTTTCCATTTATTCTTTTTTTACTCTGCACAAGTTTCATTCCTTTCTACACTCATGTCCATAAATTAAGGATAATGCAAAATCAGGCAAAGGAAGAGTTAGAAGCAAAACAAATTTGACTTATTTATAAAGCTTATTTATTAAACAAAAGGTAAAGAGCAAAAAAAGATGCTATATGTTTGATATTATTAAAAAAATTAGTGATTTTTTCTCCCTGGAGCAAATTAAAAAAAAAAAAAAAAAAAAAAAAAAAAAAAAAAACCTATTTACAAAAAACCAATATTACATGGTTGGTATGACTGTTAATACATTGTATGTCTCCCAGACGATGCAATACAGTCCGTACAACGCCTAGGCATGCTGAATATCAAATTATCGATCTGATCTTGGGGGGATATTACACCACTCAAAAAGCAATGCTCTCCGAAGTTCCGGTAGACATGTAGGAGGAGGTTGACGGGCTGTAACTCGTCGGCCAAGCATGTCCCACATATGCTCTATTGGATTCAAGTCCGGTGAGAATGCTGGCCAGTCCATACGGGTCATATCCTCCAACTGAAGGCATTCGCTTACGATGTTTGCACGGTGAGGACGGGCGTTGTCATCCATAAACATAAATTGTGCACCCATGGCGCCCCAAAACAAACGTACATGTTGTTCCAGAATGACGTCCCTATAGATTTGGCTTATCATGGTTCCAATTTGAACATGCAGGTCAGTTCTAATAATTCCAGAATAATTCCACCCCAAACGAGCACTCCTGCACCACCGTAACGGTGTCGTTCAATGATGTTTTCTTGGTGGTAACGGGTACCTGGAGCTCTCCATATGAAAGTCTGGCGAGAATCAGATCAGGTGGAATCTTCCCAGAATAATTCCACTCCAAACGAGCACTCCTGCACCACCGTAACGGTGTTGTTCAATGATGTTTTCTTGGTGGTAACGGGTACCTGCAGCTCTCCATATGAAAGTCTGGTGAGAATCAGACTGCAAGTTAAACCTGGACTCGTCGGAAAACATCACACAAGCCCACTGTTGCATGTCCACAATGCATGCTCTCTACTCCAGGCTAACCGCAGACGACAGTGAGTTGCAGTAAGTGGAACGCATCTGACAGGTCTACGAGCATATAGACCAATGTACCCTAACCGTCTGTACACGGTCTGCCTTGAAATTGTCGTATCAGTGGCTGAAGAGAGCTGACGAGACAGGTCTGAGGCTGTGCTTCGCCTTTGGCAGTAACTGCCAAATACCGGTCTTCATTCAACGTTGTAACTCTGGGGCGACCTGTGCTGTAACGTCTACTCACGTTACCATCATCTTGGAATCACTGCTAAAGGCTGGAGATGACACTCTGGACATAGTTTGGTACGCCCACATTCCAGACGGCCGATAGTTCTACCATGTAAAAAATCATCCAAATGCGTCCTTTGTGTCATACCTATTCAGTTATTGCACTGAAATGCTTATAAAGCGCCTGCGAACAATTTTACTTCTTTGCCTCTATTCCTTATATATCACTCTTTTACACTCTCGTCATTTGACATACCATTGGTGTCATCTGGTTACTTCCTGAAATTTGCATATGATTCTTGAAGATGTGTGTAATGATTTTACAGGTGATATATTTATTTTAGAGTTCGATTTCCGTGTGACTCCGAATTATCCTTAATTTATGCACATGAGTGTATTTATCTTAACTTTTAACTTCAGCACTTCACCCTTTCCCAAGAGAAAGACTCATGGATTTCAAAATTGCCATCTGGGGTCAAAATTTTACACAATTGTAGGGGTTAAATGTGGCATGTTAGCCCCCAAAAAGACAACCTTGCTTCTTGTTTTCCAAAATCCTAGAATCCAATGAAAATGAAAGGAGGTGATTGACAACTGATTTGTCATCTGGGAGTCAGGTCTTCTTCCCTTTGTGTAGTGTGATAAGATCACACAAAGAGAAAGCTCACTTAAAAATATCGGAAATTGAAGGTCCATTTCTTGGTGTAATCACAAAAACTGCTGATTTGAAAGCATGCTTTTATTCTTATCATCTTTGTTAATTTCAGATGAAAGACTAGGGAACACAAGAGAAATTTAGGGTTAGGTTACAAATAGGTTTCTTGGAAATAAATTTCACAATTGGTGAAATGAGGGAAAATATTTCTAAGGCTCGTTTTAGATGCAAACTAGAATTTATCCAAAAGTTTGAAAAGGAGCCCCTAGGAGGACAAAGGGGGTGAAAATCAAAGTAAGAGCTTTGAGGTGTATAAAATAATAAAGTTGTTTAACGATGTTTCTTCCTGAACTAAAATATATATTACAACCTATATTTACAAAAAATAAAAAAGGGTCCTCGATAATCTAAAGTGTGTGTGCATGGGGAGGATTCTTGGTATCATAGCATGAACCATGGTTTTTTTTAGATTATCTAAAGCATAAAATATGAATTCAAAAATGCAACATACTTTCTCATCCAAGTCCTCTTGCTTCATTTTTAATTTTTTTTTATTTGTCAGCTGTTATATCTCCTTGTAATATTATATTAGCTCAGTTTGCAGCATGATATGATTTACACATGCAGTGTCATATTTAATAATTTTTTTTTATAAAATAATAATATTGAATTTAAATCAAGTTGAAAAGCTTTTTACCCATATTTTACATAATGTTCAGCCAGGTTGCATCATCAAAGTGCATAAAAACAAATTTTATTTTTAAAATTTTAAAAGTTTTGTCTTCAGATTTGCATCATTACATTCAAGCTCCCATCTCCACAGAAGCACATTAAAAGTACACAAAATTAATTTAAAAAACAAAAATTAACAATTGGCAGCTACCTGGGAAAAAAATGTTTTAGATGGACGCCGGTATAAAATATATATACCAGCTCTCAAAATTTAGGATTTTGCTTTAGATTTTTTTAAGTCTCAATTTTGTGTCCTTAGGGTCTATAAGTTATAGTTCATGCAAAATTTTACCACAATTAAAATTATTTTACAGTCAAAAGTCGTTAATTCGGACACCCATAATCCGGAATGATCTATAATCCGGACCTCAAAGCTAAAATCTTTCTGCGCAAGACCTTTACGACTGCGCAAGCGCAGAATACGTTTCCGCGTGCGCGTTTAATGTATAATGGATGGTATAAGCTAAAATTATCTAATTATCTATTTCAG